GAAAACATTTACGAGAACAGAAACTATGCCAACCTCCTTTCTCTCTTTTCCCTCTCTATCTCTTTCCATCTCTCAATGCGAATCTCCCTTTTCTTAACAATTTAGTCATTCTTAATCAATTAATTTCATTATTTACAAGATTTTCACGAAGGATTGATAAATAAATTGTTTTTGAACCTCTCTAATGCGTTTATGACTTGCTAGGGGGCGCTGCTCTCTGCCGTTGGTGGCGCGCTGGGCTTTAAACAGCAGCGCCCTCTTTGGATTTCTCTCTCTCTCTCTCTCTCTCTCTCTCTCTCTTTTTATTTCTTAAAGAGACAATTTTTGTTGTTTAATTGTTCAGTTTCGTCGCGAGTTAACGGGCTTTTTTGTCAGCTTCGTCATTGGTTGGTTTAAATTTGAATTTAAAATTTTTAAAATTTATTCCGTTTAATTGGTCGAATTTTGAATATTTTCATGCATAAAAGGAAGGAGGAGAAAAGGAAGCACATTAGTACTTTAAAATTCGTTTTGAATTATTTTATTTAATTGGTTAGCATTTCTCACGTGATTGATTTATCAGTATCGATTTTTAGCCCTCGAGTTTAAATTGATTAACGCGTCACGTGACAAATTGCAAAAATGCAATTTTGAAAATATAAATTGTACGATTTATTAATCTTTCACGTGTGATGAATTACTGCATTTATGATGCTTTAAACCTGAATTTTCGAGTTTATTAGACGATTCTAGGATCGACAGACGTAAAAATTGTAAAATGTCACGCTTTAATTGGACCCACATTAAAGCATTATACTCTAAACTTAGTTGCTATTATAAATCAATATATTCTTCCATATTATCAGCATTATTTAAAAATAAAAGATTTAAAAAAAAGACATTTCCTATCATACGAGATTTTTCAGACTTTAAGGGATCCAAGAATTTTGATAACTATCATATCCAACATGGAAAGATCTTAAGATTGAGCACCGTTATTTTTCGACATTTCCCTATTGTGAATTTTCTAAAAGTATAGGCTGAATCTTGGAGGATCTTCGATTTTTCAATCGGGGGATGTCTAAGACTCAATGCATTTTAAAACAACAGAGGAAGCCATAAGTTCTTCAGACCGAAAGATTGAGATAAAATTCACATAACCCCCGGAATAAAATTGCTAGTTTTAGAAGAAAAAAAGAGGAAGGAATCCTATACTTTGCAATTGGTAACGTGTAATTGTAGTTATTAAACGGATAACATTTAAAATATAATAAGTAAAGACTTATGATCTAATCATTATGAGGGATTCGCAGTGTTTTGTTTCGTGGGAAAAAACCCGTGTGAAGTGGCAGAAGCGGCACAAAATTTTGTATATGTATAAATATAAAGAAGTTTTCAAGCTTCGAATATAGAAGAAGACTTCTTCCCGTGTGTAAACAGGCAAGGAATTTGGAAAAGGAGACGAGAGTAAGATTTAGAGATTTCTTCATCTTTTATGAGGGAAAAAATTCGCATAAAGTAAGCCCTGAATATGGAATGGATCTATTCTCTCGAGTAAAAATAAGTCATAGTGCTTTCTGTATTTTCTCAAGAAGCAATGCCCTTATTAGCCCCGAATATAGAAAAGGGCCTTCTCTGTAATAATAAGTTTAGATACTTTTGCGTAAGAGCTCTGAACATAAGAAAGGATTGTCGATCAAGTTAAAAATGATGAAATAAGTTTATTGTTTTATGTATTTAAATAATACCTTTGTAAACCCTGCATACAGTGAGACCACCCCCCTTACCATTCTAGCATTTACCAGTTAAAGATGCCAAGAGTTTTCAGCACAGAATGAGATAGCAAAGAGTTTTAGAGGTTTCGACATTTTGGGTGGAGTCATTTGTCATCTGGATTGATTATTATCAAATCTTGGATTCAGCCTAGTCATTTATTAAATAGAGATTCGGGGATCGATATATTATTTAATAGATAAATACTTTAATAAAAGGCATCTCGAAAGTAGTTTCACGATGATTTTTTTCGAAGTAATTCAGCTTGATGTAAAGATTAATAAATTAAATTAATAGTGGAATTTATTAAGATTAAAAATGCAAAAAAAAAGAAATTCCTTATATACATGTGTGTGATTTGTTTGAATTTTTAAAAATTGCTCTTTTTTGTATCCATCTCCATTCGAAAATTTCAATAATGCCGAAAACTAATTGAAACGCGTTTTAACATCAATTAAAGGAATTAAAACCTAATTAACTTAAAGGAATTAAAACTTTCATCAAGAGGAACTATCCAATTGAATCGCTCTCTAGTCTTATGTGTATCGCGTGACTAATCCATCATTTCAGTAAAAATCGATTTTTTTTTCCTTTTCCCTCCCTTGAATTTTTTAAAAAAAATTTTCTTCTTTCCTCCCCTCGACCAATCGCTGCTCTGTAAAAATTCGAATTTTCAAATATCTCTCATTTAATTGGCTAGCTTTAATTTGAAAATTTGAATTTTTAAATCTCTCTCGTTTAATTGGTCAGTTGCTTTAACGAAAAATTCGAATTTTCAAATCGGTTTCGTTTAATTGGTTGGCTTTAATTTGAAAATTTGAATTTTTAAATTTCTCTCTTCTTATCGGTCGGTTGCTTTAACGAAAAATTCGAATTTTCAAATATCTCTCATTTAATTGGCTAGCTTTTATTTGAAAATTTGAATTTTTAAATCTCTCTCGTCTAATTGGTCGGTTGCTTTAACGGAAAAATTCGAATTTTCAAATCGGTTTCGTTTAATTGGTTGGCCTTAATTTGAAAATTTGAACTTTTAAATTTCTCTCTTCTTATTGGTTGGTTGCTTTAACGAAAAATTCGAATTTTCAAATCCGTTTCGTTTAATTGGTTGCCCTTTTTTTAACGTGACGTGTAAAGCGCGGTGTGTCGTAATCGAATTTTTTGAATTTTTAAATAATTGATGATTTTAATTGGCCGATTTTAGCACGCCGATGATTTGATGTTATTAAAATTTGAAATTCGAATTTGTTTTTTTTTTCAGGGTCGTAATTAGTGGATTTATTCATAAGATAGTCGGCAAAACATTACTTAAATTAAATTTTTTTTTTTTAATTTTATTTTTATTTTTATCTTTCGTTTAAACCTTTCTACTTAATTGAATAGTTTTGTCACGTAATAGATAGAATATTTGAAATTTTGAATTTTTAAACATGTCGCTACACCGTTGCTTGGTTTCACTTCGTGCAGATTCTAAAAACTTTTTTTTCTTTCTCATTTAATTAGTTAGATTTATCACGCGAAGGAAATTATATACACATACATATATATATATTTTAAAAATTAAACATTTTGAAGTTGTCCTTTTGAATGATTTCGTCACGTGATGTGAATAACTAAATACATATATTTAAATTATTAACTCACTAATCATGCGATAACTGAATTTTATTAGGTTTTAAAATTGAAATTATTTCATTTTTTATTTTTTTTTCAGCGATGGAATTAAATTAAATTATTCAAATCTTCAATTTTCGTAATTAGGAATTTTAAATTTCAGCCAACCAGTGGCCGAGTGGATACCACCAAACTCGTTCGCGTGGTGTTTTGCGGGTTTATACACGTTCTTAACTCCTAAGTAGGGGTCAGCTTCACATGGAAAGTCGCCCTCGTGTATAAACGAGTAAGGGCCCACCAGTGGCCAAGTGGTTTCATTCCCTGAATACTGGGAGCTCCGTCGTGGGTTCGCCCCTCGCCAGGACGGGATGGCCACGATATTCCGGGTTTTCTCTACGTCTGTAACGCCTGAATAGGGGCTAGTTACCCTTTCCCTTGGCAGATCGCCCAATTGTTGCGTTGCTGTAACTTAACTAAATAAAAAGTAAAGTTAAACTTTGGCTGCTTCGGTTGCTTGAATTCTCAGTGCCATTTAGAACCTGCCGTCGGGCGCAATATAAAACCATAAGTAGATGGAGCAATGCATCAAAATGCTCACTTTTTTTTGTTGTTTTACTTCAACTCTATTTGCGGGCACTTAGAGGGCCTTTTTAGCAAGCGCATTATGCATTCGGCCAGGCCCAAATGGAACGGATATTTTAGACCACTTCGCGAAAAATTACTGTGGGTTTTTTGACCGGTCCGAATTACGATCCCGGGTCCCTAGAACGGCAGGTTGCATTTTTCCATGGAAAAATAAAAAAATGCGAGTATAAAATTGATTAATCCATATTTTTCATATTACTCAAAGTTCTCTATGTTTATTAAATATTTATTGCGCTTCATTATATTTATACCGCGTGTTGTACAACAGTTTCTACTGTACGTGCGATAAACAAATTGCTTTTATACATTATTTTTTGCATTTATATTTTGTTAGTAGCTTTTTATTTAGTGCTACATTGCAGTCATTATATCCTTTCTATTATTATTATTATTATTACTTTGTTTTGGCATTCAGTGTTATCCAGTCTTGCCCCCCCAGCTGTTATATATAACAAAGAGCGATCGCTCAAAATACGACCACCCCAAGAGTTTCATATTTCTGAAGTCGTGGGGACCTTCAAACACCGAGAATTTCAAAAAAAATTTAGGGTTTATTTTCTGTATGTATTGTTGTTAGTGTTTATAAAGGGCGCGATTATGTTCTTCCGGTTTCAAGCGTAATAACTCCGGTGTTTTTTGTCGAAAATTTTTGAAATTTTGCAGGGAGGTTCGTATATTAGGGGGGTTTATGCTGTTAAATTGTGGTGGTTAAACGTCGAAGGGGTAAAGAGCTTCGTATCTCGACGAGGGTCGGACTTAATGAAGATTTTATTGGCATTTGCAATTTATTTTAACTTTTCTGCCGGGAAAGTTACGCAACTCATTGTTGGATTATTTTTCCAATTGTTATTGTGGTTGTATTGCTTGTGATATGATACTACATTCTAATTGATTTTACAGTACTTTAATCCTTAAACGTAAGTAATGTAAGTAAGTAATCTTGAATTCACTCTACACTTACCAAAAACCCACCAGACATTTTAAATTTTCAGTATATAGCGGGAAGAGGGGCAATATGTCAAAATGATATAAAGGAAAGATTGCTACGTGCTTTGAAGGTTTTTCGAATTTTAAGAATTAAAGTCACCATCAAGAAGGAGAAAAATGAAGATAGTGAAAAGTAGGTACGACTACAATTTTCCGTTAAGAAATGACAATTCAAAATGTTCATGGTGTATCAAATTGATCAAATTCTCCAGACGGAAGGTTAAACGAGGTGTTGCTTCGATTCGAGGTATGTATTAAATTCTGGCTGCGTTTGAATTCGGAATATTCACTCTTCGAAAGTCTGTGTGAGAGATTTTATTATATTTCCTTTTTGTTTTATTCTTTATGCCCACCTGTGAACTAATGGAACACTAGTAGCAACACTGGCGCATGACCAACAGTTGACCACGTGGTGTTTTTCGAGTTTTCTTCACGTATCTAACACCTAAATAGGATACAGTTTCCTATTAGAAAGTGCTCTCGGGAGGCACCCTTTTTTTTGGCAGATCGCCCACGTGTTGGGTTGCATTTATTCCATCAATTCATTCGTTCATTATTTTATACTTCCTGTTAATTGTATTCGTTTTAAACGCATTATTAATGTTTTTAATTCTTAAAACCAGTTTATTAAATCCAATTTTTTTTCTGAATACTCCTTTCAAACGTCTTAAATTTGACATAATTGAAATTTTGTTTAGTTTGTACACGGCAAAGAGACATATGGGCGATCTGTCTGCAGGGTGGCACCCGAGATGAGTTTCTATGAAAAACCAGTCTCAATTTTGGTGTTACAAACGTGTAGAAAACCCGGAAAACTCCACTTGGCCATCCCATTTGCGACTCGCGAACCCACGACCAAGTGTTCGGTAGGTTTATCCAAATTCAATCATTGGTGGGCTTTAAAATTAATTAAAGATTCTTATTATTTTTTTCATAATTTCGTTAACACAATAGCCATTTGTCAATACCCTGGATATCATTATTAGAACTTTAATTGGGCCAAGTTTTGTATCTCATTTTAACGTCATTGGAATACGAGTTTTGAAATTTTCCATTACAGTATTTATTCAGCAGAATCGATCACTCGAGGTAGCGATGTTATTGTTAAATTTTACCGTTTTAATTTTTAAATGCTATTTATTTCGGGATAATTGATTAATACGCCGTGGCGCGAGGCGTTTTTGCATCTCATTATGCAAATTTCTCGAAACGTTTTCGATTTCATTGGACGGATTTATTTACGTCATCGTAAACGTCAACAAAATACAAACTTTTCAAACTTGGGCTATTTATTTGTCGAAATTACACACACACACACACACACAGATATACGTGTGACATTTTAATAAATACATCCAATAAAAAGGCAGGATACGAAAGGGCACACACATACACACACAAAAAAAAGAATGTTTCGAATTTGAATTTCAATTTCATTGGTTTAATTGGCCAATCGTATGTTGATATTTAAATATTTAAATTTTCAAATCTGGTCAATTTAATTGGCCGCCTTATTCACGTGACGGCTTACGACTCATTACGTCGCCGACATCGGCCAATTAACTTACAAGAAACATTACACGTCACGCATTAACATGTAGTCATAATTTGTCAAAACGACGTCGTCTACCAATTAAACGGCGACAAATAAATTCTCTTTTAATTAATATCAAGAAATTCGTTTAAGGTTTATTACGTTTGGGAGCAATATAGCAGAAAGCTGGGACAGATCAGTTGATAGGAAGTAATCAATGGTACAATATTGTCGCGTGTCGAGCAGTTTATCGCCGTCACACAGAAAATAAGTGTTAATCAGCCCATCTAGAAAGCGTTATATGACAGGCAAAAGGATCAACATGGATTAATGTTTTGTAGGAATGTTTAATAGCCGGACAGTCTCCCGAGAGTAGAGTATGCAATCAAAAACTCGCTAATGGAGGCTTTTCAAATACATTATTCATATATGTCAAGACATTGTGTTTGAACGGGGGTGGGTGGGTGGCTAGAGAGCAGCATCAAGCAGCAGCAACACCAAGGAGGAAGAAGGGGAGAGGGGGAGAGAAAAAAATAGGTACCAAAAAGAGTGCATTTGCTTACTGGGGAATCTTCTAAACGTCAATGGAAATTCGTAATGACGTCAAGCCTAGATTAAGTAGGGGGATGTTGCAGAATTGATGAAGATCTGGGATTAGAAGCGTGTTTTGCTTCTCCTCTTCACGTCCCCCTCCGTCCCTCCCTCCCTCCATCACTTATTTTGTCACTGCCCATTTCGAGCGGGGGAATAGAGTAATGGAAACACGTTTTTCAACAAGCTGACACCGTGTCTGATATTGTCGAAAATAAGTACGACAACTTGACCCAATACTGCATCTTAATGGAGTTCGTGTCTTCTGTGTTTTTCTCCCATCTGGGGAGTCGAATTATTATTATTATTATTATTGTTGTTGTTGTCGTCCCCTCACTTTCTCCCGCAGCTTCCCCTCTCCCTATTTTATATGTAATTGCCGATCTTGACCCCGTGACGGTCACCTGATCGATCGAACTCGGATGACCGGGAGCAGATTATTGTTTATTGTACGACGTGACTCGACTGGGAATGGCAAATATATATCACGATAACGTTACACAATGTTGAAGACTGGGAGGAATACTACAACCACAAATATTGAAGGCGGCTGCTCTGGGTACTCTGTAATCGTTTTGTAAACCTACTCATAGCTCCTGATCCCATAGAGAGACAATGGTCAATGATGTCGTCAATACAGCTTTCTGATTACATAAATCCATGCCCTGGAGGAAGCAGTGCCATAAATGGTTTCTGGTTACTTAAATATAAGTCGAGAAACGGGGGGAATAATCTAATTTTATTATTTATTAATATATAAGCTCTTGTTTTTTTTTTTATTTAAAAGGGGGTGCTTTACGTATTGTTCGTCGGGTTTCTCATATATAATGTAACCGTAATTAGGAAATTTGGATGAAAGTTTTATATCAGAAAATGTCGTGGATCCTCACTACTACCTTATGTATCTTTGCCACTTTGAACACAGTTTTAAACGGGTGCGAGACCACATTTTGAGACTGAAGTGGGCAGATTACTAAAAAGGTTAAGAAGCAGTGATCTAGAGTCCCCGGATGGCACTAGATATCCTTAAATGTATATACAGTCCCTAGATGACACTAGATCAGTGCGTTCTACGCTCTGAATTTATCTAAAAACTCTATAATATTCTTGAAATTACGTATAGAAGTTACTTCTGTTTAGAACAAAATTCACATTAAGTACTTTTCTTCTCTATGTAGGTCGAAGAAAATTACGAAAAGACAAGACCATGATCGTATTCAAATCCCTATTAAAAGAACTTAAAGGTGAGTGATCAGTTTTACTTGTAAACTTACAAAACACGTAAGAGACACAAACCCCACTTTCCTCCTTCCTCAAATCTAATAAACCTTATTCTAGAATATATATAAAGTAACCTTACAGACCCAAAATTCTTCTCTATAAGCCTTACTCTAGAATGTATATAAAGTAACCTTACAGACCCAAAATTCTTCTCTATAAGCCTTACTCTAGAATATATATAAAGTAACCTTACAGACCCAAAATTCTTCTCTATAAGCCTTACTCTAGAATGTATATAAAGTAACCTTACAGACCCAAAATTCTTCTCTATAAGCCTTACTCTAGAATGTATATAAAGTAACCTTACAGACCCAAAATTCTTCTCTATAAGCCTTACTCTAGAATGTATATAAAGTAACCTTACAGACCCAAAATTCTTCTCTATAAGCCTTACTCTAGAATGTATATAAAGTAACCTTACAGACCCAAAATTCTTCTCTATAAGCCTTACTCTAGAATGTATATAAAGTAACCTTACAGACCCAAAATTCTTCTCTATAAGCCTTACTCTAGAATGTATATAAAGTAACCTTACAGACCCAAAATTCTTCTCTATAAGCCTTACTCTAGAATGTATATAAAGTAACCTTACAGACCCAAAATTCTTCTCTATAAGCCTTACTCTAGAATGTATATAAAGTAACCTTACAGACCCAAAATTCTTCTCTATAAGCCTTACTCTAGAATGTATATAAAGTAACCTTACAGACCCAAAATTCTTCTCTATAAGCCTTACTCTAGAATGTATATAAAGTAACCTTACAGACCCAAAATTCTTCTCTATAAGCCTTACTCTAGAATGTATATAAAGTAACCTTACAGACCCAAAATTCTTCTCTATAAGCCTTACTCTAGAATGTATATAAAGTAACCTTACAGACCCAAAATTCTTCTCTATAAGCCTTACTCTAGAATGTATATAAAGTAACCTTACAGACCCAAAATTCTTCTCTATAAGCCTTACTCTAGAATGTATATAAAGTAACCTTACAGACCCAAAATTCTTCTCTATAAGCCTTACTCTAGAATGTATATAAAGTAACCTTACAGACCCAAAATTCTTCTCTATAAGCCTTACTCTAGAATGTATATAAAGTAACCTTACAGACCCAAAATTCTTCTCTATAAGCCTTACTCTAGAATGTATATAAAGTAACCTTACAGACCCAAAATTCTTCTCTATAAGCCTTACTCTAGAATGTATATAAAGTAACCTTACAGACCCAAAATTCTTCTCTATAAGCCTTACTCTAGAATGTATATAAAGTAACCTTACAGACCCAAAATTCTTCTCTATAAGCCTTACTCTAGAATGTATATAAAGTAACCTTACAGACCCAAAATTCTTCTCTATAAGCCTTACTCTAGAATGTATATAAAGTAACCTTACAGACCCAAAATTCTTCTCTATAAGCCTTACTCTAGAATGTATATAAAGTAACCTTACAGACCCAAAATTCTTCTCTATAAGCCTTACTCTAGAATGTATATAAAGTAACCTTACAGACCCAAAATTCTTCTCTATAAGCCTTACTCTAGAATGTATATAAAGTAACCTTACAGACCCAAAATTCTTCTCTATAAGCCTTACTCTAGAATGTATATAAAGTAACCTTACAGACCCAAAATTCTTCTCTATAAGCCTTACTCTAGAATGTATATAAAGTAACCTTACAGACCCAAAATTCTTCTCTATAAGCCTTACTCTAGAATGTATATAAAGTAACCTTACAGACCCAAAATTCTTCTCTATAAGCCTTACTCTAGAATGTATATAAAGTAACCTTACAGACCCAAAATTCTTCTCTATAAGCCTTACTCTAGAATGTATATAAAGTAACCTTACAGACCCAAAATTCTTCTCTATAAGCCTTACTCTAGAATGTATATAAAGTAACCTTACAGACCCAAAATTCTTCTCTATAAGCCTTACTCTAGAATGTATATAAAGTAACCTTACAGACCCAAAATTCTTCTCTATAAGCCTTACTCTAGAATGTATATAAAGTAACCTTACAGACCCAAAATTCTTCTCTATAAGCCTTACTCTAGAATGTATATAAAGTAACCTTACAGACCCAAAATTCTTCTCTATAAGCCTTACTCTAGAATGTATATAAAGTAACCTTACAGACCCAAAATTCTTCTCTATAAGCCTTACTCTAGAATGTATATAAAGTAACCTTACAGACCCAAAATTCTTCTCTATAAGCCTTACTCTAGAATGTATATAAAGTAACCTTACAGACCCAAAATTCTTCTCTATAAGCCTTACTCTAGAATGTATATAAAGTAACCTTACAGACCCAAAATTCTTCTCTATAAGCCTTACTCTAGAATGTATATAAAGTAACCTTACAGACCCAAAATTCTTCTCTATAAGCCTTACTCTAGAATGTATATAAAGTAACCTTACAGACCCAAAATTCTTCTCTATAAGCCTTACTCTAGAATGTATATAAAGTAACCTTACAGACCCAAAATTCTTCTCTATAAGCCTTACTCTAGAATGTATATAAAGTAACCTTACAGACCCAAAATTCTTCTCTATAAGCCTTACTCTAGAATGTATATAAAGTAACCTTACAGACCCAAAATTCTTCTCTATAAGCCTTACTCTAGAATGTATATAAAGTAACCTTACAGACCCAAAATTCTTCTCTATAAGCCTTACTCTAGAATGTATATAAAGTAACCTTACAGACCCAAAATTCTTCTCTATAAGCCTTACTCTAGAATGTATATAAAGTAACCTTACAGACCCAAAATTCTTCTCTATAAGCCTTACTCTAGAATGTATATAAAGTAACCTTACAGACCCAAAATTCTTCTCTATAAGCCTTACTCTAGAATGTATATAAAGTAACCTTACAGACCCAAAATTCTTCTCTATAAGCCTTACTCTAGAATGTATATAAAGTAACCTTACAGACCCAAAATTCTTCTCTATAAGCCTTACTCTAGAATGTATATAAAGTAACCTTACAGACCCAAAATTCTTCTCTATAAGCCTTACTCTAGAATGTATATAAAGTAACCTTACAGACCCAAAATTCTTCTCTATAAGCCTTACTCTAGAATGTATATAAAGTAACCTTACAGACCCAAAATTCTTCTCTATAAGCCTTACTCTAGAATGTATATAAAGTAACCTTACAGACCCAAAATTCTTCTCTATAAGCCTTACTCTAGAATGTATATAAAGTAACCTTACAGACCCAAAATTCTTCTCTATAAGCCTTACTCTAGAATGTATATAAAGTAACCTTACAGACCCAAAATTCTTCTCTATAAGCCTTACTCTAGAATGTATATAAAGTAACCTTACAGACCCAAAATTCTTCTCTATAAGCCTTACTCTAGAATGTATATAAAGTAACCTTACAGACCCAAAATTCTTCTCTATAAGCCTTACTCTAGAATGTATATAAAGTAACCTTACAGACCCAAAATTCTTCTCTATAAGCCTTACTCTAGAATGTATATAAAGTAACCTTACAGACCCAAAATTCTTCTCTATAAGCCTTACTCTAGAATGTATATAAAGTAACCTTACAGACCCAAAATTCTTCTCTATAAGCCT